AGAAGAAGAAAACTTAAGAAGTACAATCCACATGATAATTGATTTGCCTTGAACCATCTTCGAGTCGACGGGATTAGTTTGAAATTGTGATAGCTCGATCAACATGCGTCCCCATGTAGTTTGATTCTGCAGCAAACAAGCAAACAATGATTAACTCAAAAACCACAATCAAACACAAGTAAAAAGCTGATACGAACATCGGCGTCCAGAGGGTTTTTAGCATATGTAGCTTCTACGGTCTCGATTTTTGTCTTGGCATTGAAGCAAATTCAGTATGTTAGGGAAAAGGAAGAGAGGTTTTTTTCGGAGGAGATGGTGAACATGGGGCGATGAGTGATTTTTTTTAGAGTGATTGGGTATCTTTGACATGATTTTTTGGTAATTATATCAATTGCATTTAATTTGCGCGGATTTCATTAATAACAGTTACATTGCAATTTTAGGTATAATTGTAATATTTATGGCTTTGTTTAGTAATTTTATAATTAAGAATATAATGGGTATAAAAGTATAATATTAATTATATATGATGGTAAGGGGTGCAAATAAGGTCACCAGGCCTAACAATTCCACAGGTCACGCATTATTGTCATAATTAAAGGCCATCGGACTAAACATAACAATGTCACCTTTTGTATTTAGGATGTGGGGTAGGTCTCAAACGGGCCCATTATAATTCAGTTATAACACAAGGCCCAATTCAGCTATATCACTTGCATAGGTAACATGTCTTCATGGCCCGCGTCCCAAACAAAGTCCTAAGGGCCAAAGTACATAACTACTACTTCTACAAAACGAAATTCTACCAAAACAACATGTTATTATGAATTTCAAATATGTCTCAAGAGGAAGTTACTAGGAAGTTACGCCAACTCAAAATTCAAATAAATAACTACTCTCTTTATCTCTCTTCCTCTTTTTTTCTTCTCTCTCTTCCTCCACACTTCTCGTTTTTTTCTCTCTTCTTCTTCTTCTTCTTCTTCTTCTTCTTCTCTTCTTGTTTTTCTTCAAAATTTAATGCCTAAAGATAAAGAACAACAAAAAAATAAAAAATGAATCAATTGGTTATATACATAATAAAAATTTATTACATTGCCTAAAAGCAACGAAAAAAATTATTAAATAAAATTAACAACAATAATAATAATAAAATATAATACATACAGAAAAAAATTATAGTAAAAAAATTAGATAAAAAACAAAGGACTGAAAAACTTCAATGAAACAACAAAACAATAACATAACAATAACAGTTAAGCAACATGAAAACAACTGTTAATGCATAACAATTCGAGCTAGCCCGTAAATCGATGCTCGGGGATTGACGGCCATGGAACAGTATAAACGTGAAGAAGAAGAAGAAGAAAGATGAGTGGTATCAGATATGTGAGAGAAAGAAAGAAGAAGAAGAAAAAGGGGGAAGAGAATAGAAGAAAAAACGCTGAAAAAAAAAAGGGGAAAGAGAGAGGAGATAAAGAAGAAGAACCCTCAATTTATTAAAAACCAATTGGTGTTTATAAATGACTTTAAAAAAGACAAAATAAGAATACAAAGGAGTAGAAATGGAATACACCACCAGCCATATCAATTAAGGAATAAAATATTTTAAAAAGCCATACAGTGTCTTTAATTCAAGTCGTAAGAAGCACAATGTCCCACTCCGGAAGCACAAATGAAAACAATGTGCTATTTAAACCACAACTTTAGCTACTATAATTAGATAGCTAAGAAGCAACCATTAAGTCGTGCGAACCGTTACCGGTTATCTGGTTTCACTGGTTTTTGACCGAATTGAACTGTTTCTGACCGGTTATGGTCTCTAGCGGTTATGTATCTCAAATCGGACCGATGTGCTAACCGGTTCCCGGCTAAACCGGTTGAACCGGCCGGTTTGATTTTGAGAACTATGGTCAAAACAGATGGTACAAACTGCAACGAAATGACTCCATTGAGAACTATGGTCAAAACAGATGGTACAAACTGCAACGAAATGACTCCATTGGAGAACGTTTCTCTTATCAAGGGGAAATCTATCTCTATGTGTTTTGTTCTCTCATGCTGCACATGATTTTTGGCTAGAGATATGCATACTTGCTATTTGAAAGTAATAAAATAGGAGAAGGGTGAGCAATATGTAAATCATTAAGCATATATAGTAGCCATTGAGCTTTACATGTAGTGAGAGTCAATGCTCTATATTTTGTTTCAGTAGAAGACCTACTGACAATTGATTGCTTTTTAGATTTCCAAGATATAAGAGAATTTACAAGGAAGAGAGTATAATCGGTTATACTTCTTCTTGTGTTAAGACAATCTGCTCAATCACTATCACTGTAGACATTTCACAGAGTTTCTAGGATAGAGAATTACTTGTCATATAGTGTCTTTTGTATACCTTAACACTCTGTTAGGAGTAGTCGTGTGTTGTTGTGTTGGGCAAGAAACATATTGACTTAATGATTGCACACTGAGTAAAATCAGATCTAGCTGTGGTTTAGTAAAGTAGTCCACCTACCAATATCTTATAAATAGATGCATGTATAGAAATTGAATGATTATCACTACATTATGCAGTTAGCTTCAAATTAATGTCCATAAGAGTTGAAGCAGGTTTACAAGCTAGGTAATCAGTGTCTTTTAAAATAACCAAAGCAAATTTTCTTTGACATAAGTGAATACCTTTTTTAGATTGAGCAATTTCCAATCTAAGAATATATTTGAAAGTACCAAAACCTTTTTCTTGTAAAGCAAGTATCAAGATAATGTTTTATAGCAGTAACAACATCTAAGTTGTTACTTCTTACTATAGTATCATTTACATATACAAGCAGAACTAGAATAAAAACAGAATTGGAATAGGCAAAGTTTGATAAACTAAATTTTATTTATGACCATGAGTATGTCAACACCTCTTGATTGTCGACCGTCGAGAGGTGATTTTGATAAATTATATTTTATTTATTGTTTATAAGAACAAAGTTTGCCCAACACCTCTTCTAATCAGTTATAAATTTAAATTGTTAATTATAGAGCAATGAAAAAATATATTTGTTATATATGAATAAAATAGAGATATGACATTTTTTATTTTTTATATTTAATACAAATTAACCTCTAAAAATATAAAACATCATTTATATTATTTAAAAAACTAGTGCGGTACCCGTGCGATGCACGGTCTAGTAATATTAAGGAAAATATTTTGATTTGGACGATGGAATCATTATTCAAAACATAAAACACATGTATTATAATAAATCAAAATGTTATTTAAATATTATTAATCATCTCCTTCTACACAACATTTTTTGTTTGAGTTTTTGGTACATCGTTATGACCACAAATTAAAATCTTTTAACTCTAACGATTCGTAACGCGTTAAACAACTACATACGATTGACCGTATTGAACATTGATTTCTTCAAGAACATGCCAGCAGACCGTACTGAACATTGATTTCTTCAAGAACATGCCAGCATGCGATATTTTTCCTTTTATTTATTTATTTATTTATTTTTTTTTTTGGTATTTGACATTGTATGTTTCTTCCTCTTTTATTTTTTTCAATGCATTTGATATGGTATCTCTTAATGCAATATAGCAATTTTTGTTTTGAAATTTAAATCAGGAGTATATATCACATTTAGTGTGTTGAAATGATTTGTAAGATTGATTTGTATGTATATCGGGGTTAGTGTTTGAAGGAAGTGTTATATTTACTTTAACAATTGTTAGTATAAAAAAATCTGTTAGGATATAATATTTTTGGTAGTAAATAAATTGGTACGTTAAATAACCAAACGATATAATATGAAATAAACAAATGAAATAAACAACTGTGATAATCGAATAGTTTTAAAAAAAAATCTTTTAAGATATGAAAGATGTTCGTTCTTTTTTTTTTTTCCTTTTTTTTTCACTTGATATTGTATCTCTTAATAAATTATAGCAGATTTATTTTCTTAAAAAAAAAATTGGTAGTATTTCTCTGATTGTGGTTCAAAGTTTTTCCTTGCTGTAAATTTTTTAGTTCGTCAATGATTTATAGGTATTCAATTGTTGCATACACTGTTATTTTCATGTTGCTGCATAAAATTATGATTTTTTTGATCAGAAGTATGGTGCTGTGATGTATTTGATAGAGTTAGAGAAACAAAAAATACAAAAAACTTACCTCAAATTATATCTTTCATCAGACAAACAGTTGATACCCATATATATTAGGACTGTAGACATGATTATTATAATATATCAAAATAATTTAGTACAATATATGGTAAGATATGTAAGGGTTTTAAGAAGATTTAGTAGCCTAATTTAATGGTGTATATCTTTTTAAAACTTATACACCTAAACTGAATGTTATGTTGAGATGTATAATTTTTTGATAATGATACTCTTGATTTGTTTGCCATATTTAATAGATTTATGTATAATAATTTTAGTATCATAGGAAATCATACATATAAATTTGTACTGACAAAATGTATTTTGAACATATGATTCCAAATTTTTGTTCAACCCGATTTTAAGGTAACTAAATAATGAATAAAAAATTTTAAATTTTAAATTTTAAATGAGAACACATTTTCTATGAAATAAGATTTTTTCAAAATAAAGTGATAAGGAACTATGCATTTATGGTGACCGATTTTCTAGCAATTAGTTAAAAGAAAATTAATATATTTATGAATGTAGGATTAAATCAGTTATGCAGTCCGAATTTTTGGCAAGGAAGTAAAAAAAATGAAAAATTGCTGAAAATAGAAAGTAATAAATATTGTTTGACTTTTCTTCTTACTAAATTTGGTAAATAGTAAATCTTTATATATATATACAGATACAACTAAACTGAATGTTATGTTGAAATATATGATAATACTCTTGATTTGTTGCCATATTTAATGGATTTATGTATAGTTATTTTAGTATCATACGAAATCATACATATAAATTTGTACTGACAAAATGTATTTTCAACACATACTTCACTGCGTTCAGGAAAAAAAAATATGAACATATGCTTCACTGCAGAATACAATTTTTTTTTTAGAAAAATAAAATTTTATCTTTTATGTTATTTATTGCATAAACAAAAAGTAAGCATTATATATTTATTGTCAATTATTGATTTATTTGATAATATATTATGAAAAAAAATCTATACTTTTGAAGCATAATACATTATCGATTTATTAATGCGATTGAATCGGTTTATGTCCAAATTAAATCAGTTTATGTCCAAAATATATTTTATGAAATCGAGTTAGTGTAATACAATAACGATTTTATAAACCTATAAATACAATTATTGACATATGTTTAATGAAAAAAATATAAAAATATTTCTTTAATATATATATTGTTTCACTAAGATCAAGATTATTTATCATTACTGTTACTTATCACACATATTTTTATTTAATTCTACACGAAAAAATCTATAAATGTTAAATATAATATATTATGAATTTAGTATTTAGTGAATTGATAGTATGTCCTTTAACTTATTTGTCTATAACATTTTAAAAGAGATATGCTCAAAGAAAAAGTGTTTGACATATAAAAAAGACATGCTCAAACAATTTTTTCAGATATATTAGGATAGGATTTATACGCTTGAATGATGATATATGACTTAATTCAAAAGTTATTAACAATCCAAAAAAAAAGAAAAAGAAAAAGAAAATTGGGATCTGATTTTTTAGTATAAACCATTTTGCACTAAAAAGATATGCTCAAACAATTGATTTTGCACTGAACGATTTGCAAGAAAATTGGGATTTGATTTTTATCTATAATCCAAATTGTTATCAAAATTGGCCACGTACTAAAATTCCATAAATTTCTCTGTAGAACACATTTTAATTGCGTAAAGACTTTACCACGTTATAAAAAAAAAATAATAATAACTTGTGAAAACCAAACAAAAATCTAGATTTTTAAACATGTTTCACAATTAGTAAGTCAAACCTTTGACACGTTTATTTTAACTTTCCACAAATGAATTTACCATCAACCATTTTCAATATATATAGATATATGAAAATTGGACGAGTGTCCCACTTTAACTCTCTCAACCGATTGAGACCAAGGTCATATTGTGATCTGGGTCACGCATTTTTCCTGATTTTAATTTTGAATCTTTTTTTCTTTGTTCATTTCGTTGGTGACCCAATGCTTTATGTCACCAATATAGCCTAATATATACACTATCACATCAATTTTGAAATCAATATTTTTTACATTTACATAATTTATATAATTCATATGTCAACAAAGGATGCGAAAATATAATATAATTGATTTCTACAATACCTCCAAAGGTTTTTCAATTAATGATCTTTGATGATATATATGGGCAAAAGTAACAAGAAAAGAAAAGGAGACATTATCATTATTCCAAGAATTAAAGAGTGGTGCAAAAAAAAAAAAAAAAAAACAGCTAGACCTGTTTCTCTAGAGACAAACCAGAAGCCAATTATTAATGACCCTCTCATCACCAATCGACAATAACTATGGGATGTAAACCTAACCCCACATATAACTGTTGCTCAATTGACATAAAATTAGGAAAAATGGTTGAACATTTTGTCAATAATGCATCACATACAGATCATACTTAACTATAGCGTCCCCAGTTGACTGATTGAACATTTTCGTAGAGAGGAGAGCGTAGCCTCTAGCGAACCGGAAAAATCCCGACCCTCCGACAATAGGCATCTCCCTCACTTTATTCATAAAGGCGTTCCTCCCGAGTATCTCCAGCGTGCTGCCCTTGTATTTTCCGTCGGTGAAATAGAAGTTCATCGTCATTAACAGGGCTAAGTCCTTTGGATCGAGTGAGGCCACTGCGTAAAACCCTTGGGCCCGACCGATGCTTTTGGATTTCGGGTCGCCGTCCAGGGTCAGTTTGTTGTCGATCATTTGGACCCACCCGAAAATGGAGTTGTTTTTATTAGGATAGGGTGGGGGAGAGACGATGGATACCGATGTGGGATCGTGACCGCTGAGTATGTCGTGCCAGTATACCGTAAAATTGCTTAGCTTCTCATTTCCATATTGGTGTTTGGCGTGGGCTGCCAAGACGTTGTTTGATTCGGCGGTGAGGATGGAGATGAAGAGGATGAAGGAGAATGAAAATTTTGTAAGGGTATTTTTCCCCATTTTTGATTTGGCTACTGTGTGTAATTGGGAATTTTGGGGCAAGTGTGTTGTTTTTCTTAATAAGGAGAATTCCATATTTAATGTGATGTTTTGGTGCTTTTATAGATGCAGGTTTTTTTTATTTTATTATTTTTTTTTTAAAAAAAAATGGGCTAGGTGGAGTGGTGGGGAGAGTTGGTGTAATTTGCCAGCTTTTTTGAGAATTTGGGGTTTAAATTCATGCTACTGTTTTTTATTTTTTTAACTTTTTGAAGATTTTGAAATTTTCGGTGGGGACAAGGTAAAATCCGCGTGGGATTTGGTTCACGCTTCAAAACGCGTGAGTCTTGCGATTGATACGCATATTTCAAAATGAATGCAAATTCCAAAGTAATGATTGAGTGTCCATCAAATAATATTATATTTAAACTCTTGTTTTTCACCTGCCAATAAACTCAGATTATTCTACAAGACGATGTAAATTAGAGTGGGACACAATTCTGAAGGAAGAATCATTTATTTATCTAAAAAAAAAATATTTGTGGAAAAAAAAAAAAGTTAGTGGAAAAAAAGTAAAACGACCGGGTTTCGAGAATCCGTTTTTGTCCGAAAAACGGATTATGAGAATCCGTTTTCACTAGAAAAACAGATTTTGAGAATCCGTTTTTCTTAATGATGTAATTAGCCTTAATTAATACAGCAAAAAACGGTTTACCAAAATTCGTTTTACATAAAACGGATTTTGAAAAACCGTTTTTACATATAAAAACAAAAAAAAAATATGTCCACAAAATCACAGAATACAAAAACAAACTAACTAGCCAGGAGTATATGGTTTCCTAGCCTTGCGGTTTCGGGACCCTCTCCGAGGCCCCGGTTGCAAAGAAGACGATCCTGCGGTCGGTCCAGGCGTGGTTGGTTCTTCTTCTTCTTGTCCATCTAATTAATTAATTTTTGTAAAAAATCAATAATTCGACTGGACAAATAAATAAAAAGAAACAAAAAAAATATATATATTTGTAGTTAAAAAAAAAAAATCTCACCTTCTTCATGGTCACGGCGTCTTCTCCCTCCACCAATGTGGGGCGCCGGTCTATGCCTCGCCCGCTGAGAATGTGTTTGCTGGGGTGGGGCGTACTCATCTTGAGATAGAATTTGCTCCGACGACGCCCCTTGTGTGACCGACTGACCCCCAACAGTCAGAGAAGCGTACAAAAGTTCCTGGGCTTGCTAGAACTGTGACTGCGCTCGGGGAGGTAGCGTATCAATGTCTTCAATGTTCGTTAGCATGTTATACGCCACCTCCGAACCCGAAAACTGCAAAATTAAATTCAAATAACTATCAAATATTAAAAATAAGAATGATAATAATAATAATTACTTCATTGAAGACAGTTACCTGACACTTCTCCCGGTCGGCATATGGCTGAAACCCGCCGTCCTGTGAGATCGCCGCGTAGTTGTTGGGGTCATTGAATAGTCTCACAGTCCTACTGTGAAACCAATCAATGTACCCATCTGCCGGCTGCAGGAAGGGATCCACCGGGACATCTTGGAGGACGTTCTGATCTCTCTCTTCGGTCCAGATCCTCCCAAGATCAGCATGGAAGGCCTGCCAATCGGTGTATGCCCTCACAGTCATGCCCTGGCCCTTGTGGCAGGTGTCCCAGTCGGCCAGACTAGTAATGAGCGGCTGTTGGGGGATGGGCTGATGGCACCGAAACTGGCGGAGCACCCTATCAATCTCGTGGGGTTCTGCGATGTTTCAGCAGAAGATCCACCCCTTGTACATCCAGAGATGTCGGTCTCGTGTGCACACTTCCGGGAGCCGACCCTCGTCTATGTACGTCTGATAGGGTACCCAATCGAACTGTGAAAAAAAACATTTATAGAATTATTAATAAATTGAATAAAAAAATAGAATTAAAAAAATAATAATTATTTATTATTATGACCTAAGAAACTTACATCAGTCTCTCTCAGGCCACTCAGCTGATCTCCGATGGCAGCCGTGCCCGTCACCAGGTGTCTCATGTCCCTCGATCCCACCCACCTTAAAAATCACAGAAAAAGTTTTATTTGTAATTACAAATTTTGATAATTGAAATAACTTAAGTGTTGAATATAAATAAATGTTATTATTACCTTGCACCCAAGGGACAACCCGCCTGAGAGCCGAAATGTGTTCTTGTCATTAATGGGCGAACACGAGGGATGCGTTCCCATGCCCAAACCTGCACATATGGACATATACATTTTTTAGCACATATTATTGTAATTTACAATAAATAAAATTAATTTTCAATTAACAAGTAAATAAATTTACCTGAATCAACTGCACGCAGCTCTTGATATATTTTTCCCGCGTCTCGTATGCGTCGCAGAGCGCTCTATATACCCCGGCCTGAAGCGCTCCACCCCAGCTGTACCCCGGAATGGCATCGATGTCATTCAATAGGAACAACCAGTAGAGGTTGACTCCGTTGGCCCGATGGTCGGGGAAGAAGAAGGACCCAATACACCAGAGTATCAGAGCTCGCGCCTTCTTCTCGTACTCTGATGTAGGGAGTCCATCCTCCAGAGGGCGCTTGCACTCCTCTTCCAGACTACTAAAATACAGGCACTGGCCATTTATGTCCCAAGTCTTGGAGTCGTAGTCCTGGACCCCGTCATCCTTGAAATACGTTTATATATATATTAAAAGCGACCCATGACTTAAGTATATAAACATAATAATAAAAAAAAAATTAAAATAAACAAATAAATATTTTAGGTAAAAATATACCTGTACGTATGGGAGGTACCCTAGAGCGTCCAGGCAACGACCTCTCCACTCTTGGGGAGTCCAATGTACGGTCTGTCCCCAGCACGCCTCCCCGCTGACGGGGAGGCCAAATAGTATCTGAACGTCCTGTAGAGTGATCGTGGCCTCCTCGAAGTCGAAGTGGAAGGTGTGCGTCTCCGGACGTCACCTCTCCAGCAGGCATGTGATGAGAGGATTGTTTGTCGGGACCCGCCCCATCCGAAATAAAGGCCCGAATCCGGCCTTGTCGATCGCCTCCCATGTCCGGGCATGCTGCTTGTTGTCCTCCAAGGCAGCCCAGAACTGGGTGTCCGAACGGCGTGGCTTAACCACGCCGTGGCGAAACCCCGGTGCGTCCTCATATACCGCCTTGGATCGGTGGCGGTTCTGAAGATATAGAAGTGACGGATCACTGGGGCCGGGGTGTGGGGTGTAGGGTCGAGGGTTCGAGGATGACGAAGCCATTTTCTGAAAAAATGACCGAGATTGTACCAATTGTTAATTTTGAAATGACCGAGATTGTATTCAATTATAATTTCTTATCAAATTATTATAAAATGGCAGTTTCTATTTAATTATTTTTAATAACTATTTTTGGGTAAATTCATAAATACTATCTTTATATTTTTTTAATACTATGGTCGATTCTTCTTTTTAATGAATATTTGTAATTTATACATATTAATGAATATTTTTCTTACACGTGCATCGCACGGAATTCGTTAAATTTAATTAATTACTCATCTCACATTTATAGTTGAAGATTTTGATTTGAGTTGAGGGAGATTTTGACGATAGAAAAATCACGACATTGTTTTATAAAGAAGTGTTTAAGAATATTTATATTTTTTTTCTTAATTTTTTTCAATGGAAAACCACGACTAGTATATACATATTGTACAACAGATTGTACAAAAACCTTGAACACGCCCGGCAAGACGTGTTCTACCCACCACAACAATATATATAATACGCCAACGGCAATTGACGTACACAAATTGCAAATATATATTGAATCGAATTGAAAACATAAATTCATAAGGCTCGCATATGCATTTGATATTACCTTGCACGATTAACACGAATTATACCACGTTAAATGCAGTTCGACAATAATTCAAAGTGACGGCAATCACTTTGATATCCAATTGCAACTATATTTTTGAATCGAATTGAACACATAAATTCATAAGGCTCGCATAATATTCACTATCAACAATCGAGCATAATATTCACTATCAACAATATTCACCATGAAACGAGCATAATATTCACAATGGAGCACAATATCCAATTTACAAACGAGCACAATATTCACAATCGAGCATAATATTCACTATCAACAATATCCACCATCAATTAAGGAAACGAGCACAATATCCACAATCGACTAATTCGATTTTCACAATCGATTATGCACAATTAACATATTAAACTAAATCGAGTTCGATTAATTGGGCAAATTAAAATTCAACACGGTAAATACATCGAAAAATTAAAAATTTAGAGAGGCTGAGTCTTGGTACCGTTCTCGGGATCACGTTCGAAAAATGGGACGGACGAGTCGGAAGGGCCCGACGGCGGCGGAGGAGAGGGCAGCGGCGGCGGCGGAGGAGAGGGCGGCGGAGAGAGCAGCGGCGGCGGCGGTCTGAGGAGGAGAGGGCAACGGCGGCTCAAATTAGTACAATTAAAGTCAAATTAGTACAATTAAAGTCAAATTAGTACCATATACCATATATAAAATATATAGTATATAGAGTATATACTATATACTCTATATTATATATATATATATAACATTCATGTTCATATATACATAACATAACATATAGTATGAAGTATAGTGTAAAAAAGTAATTATTAGTAATATATAGTAAATGGATTTGGAAATTCCCTTTTTGGAAAGTAATTATTACTAAACGGATTTGGAAATTCCGTTTTTGACCATTCAACGCTAAAAACGGATTCTCAAAATCCGTTTTTGACCATTCAACGACAAAAACGGATTCTCAGAATCCGTTTTTGTCGTTGAATGGTCAAAAACGGATTTTGAGAATCCGTTTTTAGCGTTGAATGGTCAAAAACGGAATTTCCAAATCCGTTTAGTAATAATTACTTTCCAAAAAGGGAATTTCCAAATCCATTTACTATATATTACTAATAATTACTTTTTTACACTATACTTCATACTATATGTTATGTTATGTATATATGAACA